GGCCTTATCCCGGGCCTCATCCCTCTGCGCCTTGGTGCCTCCCTGGTTCCAGACCTTCCCTGTTGTGCTTTCTGCCTGGCGCCTCTATGGTGCAGAGCTTTCAGCCTTGCAACCACTTAAACAATAAGCCTGCACCTTTTCCCAGAAGCGACCGTGACCCAGCCTTTTCTATGCATCCTGTCTTCAAGGGCCTCATTGAGTAACACACGCAGTGCCCCTCACTTTGGAGTTACCCGATTTTCGGAATCTCACGGCCACCCTGGAAAATGGAAGGGTCAGGGTTTGGTACCCCTCCCTATTTTACCCCTGACAGTTGAGATCAGAAAAGAAAAGGATTTTTTTCTCAGGTTTATCAGGACCAGAACGGGTCATGTGGCCCTGGGTTCATTTTTGGCTATACTTGCCATCTTAGGGTAGCCCCCAGCTGGCTGTTTTTCTGCGTTCTTAATGTCAATTGTGCTTTCAGCTGTTGGTGTTGCCCTTAGGAGTAATTCACCCAGATTATTTCTACATTTTTATTCCTCTCCTTTCCCAATTTCATATATTTGTGTGTGTACTATACTTGTTTTAGCAGTATAATAACACGTATATTTTATACTTTTAGACTTGCTTCTCGAGTTGCCATTGAATTTGATTTGTTGCTTCTGACCAGCAGAGCTTAATTGTAAATTAACTTAGATTTGGATCCTTCGAAGTCATTTGAAAGTCGATATGTAGCATTTTGTGATATAAAAAGTTATCTTCATTTTTGTTGTTCATAGTGCAGATCTCGAAAGATGTGACACAGCCTCAGTGTCTCATTATCCACATGTAGATGGACACTGGTAGATAAATGTCTTACAAATATCCTTCCCCTGCAAACGGAGCGCACACAGCTGGCAAGTACAGAGATCGTGCAGCTCCTGAACACCAGGGAAACTAGAAGTAGCATAAGATGTCTCTGGTGTGTCAGGTCTGTAACCACAGCTGCTGGGGAGGCTGAGACAAGAGGATCTTGTTCAAGGTCCACCTGGGCTAGAGTTCGAAGTCAGCCTGAGCAAGTTAGTAAGGCGGTGTTGACTCAACACTAAAAAGAAGGCTGTGGATATTGTTCAGTGGTGGAGGGCTTGCTCGGCATGTTTAAGACCTGGGTTCACCCTCTAGTGTTGAAAAAGAAACGTAGTTTTAAGATTAGGCAAGGTTGGTCAGTCCACCTGGTGAATGTTCTTGCCTTTGGAAGCAAGAGTTCTCTATCTTACTTGAATGCCCACCCCTTACTTCACTCACAACCACGCACCCCCCGGGTAGGAAGGTGTTGTGAATTTTAACTCTGTTACAGGCTTGGAAATTTTTCCCTTTAGTTTGTTGTTTGCTGTTTCAGGGAATCACTTCCTGCTTCTGCCACTGGGATTAAAGGTGTGCACCATCACTGCCTGGCCCAGCTCCTCTTCTTCTTCTTCTTCTTCTTCTTCTTCTTCTTCTTCTTCTTCTTCTTCTTCTTCTTAATATCTTTTTTTATTCATCATTTTTAATTTATTTTACATACCAACCTCAGTTTCCCCTCCCTTCTCCCCTCCCATTCCCCACCTCCCCCCTCCACTCCTCCTCAGTTTCCATTCAGATGGGATAAGGCCTCCCATGGGAATCAACAAAGCCTGGCACATCAAGTTGAAGCAGGACCAAGCTCCCCTCCTGCCGCAGGGATGAACAAGGCCTCCCGCCATAGGGATTGGGTTCCTAAGAGCCAGTTTATGCATGGGACAGGTCTTGTTCCCACTGCTAGGGTCTTCATAAAAGACCAAGCTACACACTTTAATCCACGTACAGAGGGCCTAGGTTGGTTCCATGTTGACTCCCTAGCTATCTGTCCAGAGTCTGTGAGCTCCCACAAGCTCAGGTCAGCTATCTCTGTGGATTTCCCCATCATGATTTGACCTCCCCCCTTGCTTATATAATCCCTCCACCATCTCTTCAATTGGACTCCTGAAGCTGGGCCCAGTGCTTGTCTGTGGATGTCTGCATCTGCTTCCATCAGGTATACTGGAGGAAGGGTCGTGTTTGTCTCTCTTAAGGTGTTTCTTAAATAGACACTTCTCCAGCCAGGCTTCTCCTGTCTGTTCACTTTTAGTTCTGGTTAAAATAATCCCCTTCAAGTGATTTTTTTTGACAGTGTCTATGATAGAACCACCGAAGTAAATAGTAGGTATTGCCAGTGTACTTTCGGTTAGAGGCGTTCCCCCTGCCTTCACAAGCCTTGTGTAGGAAGGAGTTAGCGGCAGGGCTGGAGCCAGCTGCTCTTAGATCTCCTGAAGGTTTGGCCCTTGCTACTATCTAAAACCTTGGATTCTGGTGTGTTTCCACTGTTCCCTGTGTTTCCACTGGTGGTTTACTGTGGCTAACCTGTATATGGAATGAGATTTATGAGGTATACCTGTGTAGGTCTTTGGAGGGCAGGCATTTGGGGCTGGAGTATGGTAGAGCAGGAAGCTCCCATACTTGGGACTTTTGTGCACCCCCCCCCACTTGCCCAGCGTGTCTTTTCACTTGACTTTTCATTTATATTTAAAACCCTTGGCAATTAATTGGTGCATGTAAGTGAATTATTTTCCCAAGTTGTGTGTGTTGCTGTAGAAGATTAACTGCAACCGGGGAAGCAGTTTTGGGAAAACCCTGATTTATAGCCAGTAGAGCAAAGTCCCTGGTCTCCATTTGGCATCTGAAGTTGGGCAGTCAGGGACTGAACCGCCAACCTGTTGGGTCTGACTCCAGGTAGATAGTGTCTGAATGGAAGTAGAGGGCACTCAGCTGGTAGTCGCTGGAGGATGGTTAGGGGTGTAGGTGTCCACTGAATAGTGCTGAGTGGGTTGTCCTGTCTATGATTGGAGGAACAACCTCAGATGTGCTGGGAGTTTGAGATCTGGGCTTTGGTTTGGATTTGTTGGAGCCATAGCAGGCCCCATTTCCTACTATACAGTCACACACGTTCCACCAGATGCATCCCAGGGTTCTGGTTGTCTTGGTTTCTGCTGTGTCTTGTAGTCAGTGTAGAGGCTTCAGGAGGTTGTCCTTTGGTCAGAACATCAGGTTCTTGTGGCTGTTTTACATACATGCTCATGTCATGTGTGAGGAAATACCATCTTACTTCTAATTCTTAGGCTTTTTTGTTTTGTTTTCTTGCCATGTGCCACCAGCTGGGACCTTCTGGATGGTTTGAATAGAGTGGTGACACTGTTACCCTTTTCTTGTCTACCTATAGAGGAACACACAGCCTTGCCTGGTTCAGCTGATGACTGCCTTTATCTGTTTTCTGTAGGCATGACCAGCGTAAAAGCCCCTCCCAAAATGATTGACACCAAAGGAGGCTTCATTTTAGAAGAGGAGGAAGAAGAGGAACACAAGATTGCAAATGTAGTTCATGAGCCAGGTAAAGCTGGGTTTTCCACAAAAGAAGTATTGACATTGGTTATTTGGAATAACATGAGTTTTTTGCCCTTTGATCAATGAGAAGATTGGTGGTAGATTAAAAAGTCAGAGGGGGGGGGTTAAGGGAAGGACTGGAAAGGAGGAGAGGGAGGGGAAACTGTAATCAGAATTTATTGTATGAGAAAAGAATCTATTTTCTTTTCATGGAAGAACAAATATGCTTACACATGTAATTTCTTGATCATATGGTAATATGAAGTTTAATTTTTTGAAGCACTACAAGACTAGGCAGATTCATAGTTTCAAACTCTCACCAGTAATATAGGAGAGGACTGGCTTCTCCACATCCCAGTGACAGTTATCTTATTAGTCTCTTTGGTCATATTATCCCATGTGAATCAATAGCATACTTCAGGTTTGAATTGTGTATACTAGATGCTAATGGTGTTGAACATCCTTTTAAGTATTTGTTACTCTTTTTAAATTTGGAGCAATATTTGTTCAAAACTTCTGTATAATTTTAAATTAAACTACCTATCCCTTAATGCTGATATAAACCTGTATAAATTCTAGATATACGTTTCCTGTCAGTTTCAGCATGTAAACGGTTTATTTTCTCTTAGCTCAGAATATCTTTGGATTGGCATTGAAGAGAATTTTGTTTATAACATTAGCAATGACCAG